GTGTGTGTGTGTGTGTGTGTGTGTGTGTGTGTGTGTGTGTGTGTGTGTGTGTGTGTGTGTGTGTGTGTGTGAGTGTGTGTGTGTGTGTGTGTGATGTTGAGTGGAAGAGGGATGCAGGGTGGAAGCGCAGTGTGCATACACACGCACAAACACACATGTCCACACAAGTACACACATATACACGCAAGTACATGCACGTACACGCAAGTACATGCACATACACGCACTCACCATGCCAGCTCAAACTCCACACTCGGTCCGTGTGACCTGTAATTGTTAGGAACAACGAACGACACAAACCCCACAGAAGAAAGAGTCACATGACGTGATGGATGAGCACAAAAGAACTGGAGTCATTGCACACCACCACAGTTCCAGCCGTGTCAGTCGTACTTATCACGTTCACACACACACACACACACACACACACACACACACACACACACACACACACACACACACACACACACACACACACAACACACGCACACCCACACACAACACACAACCACCGTCTCACTCACTCACCAGACAGCACCACTTGCTGCCCTGCTTGTGCCTCTTCCTGCTGCTTCTTCTCATCCGCCATGGTTTGCTTGGGGCACGAAAAGTTGTGTAAATCATTAACGAGGTTTCCTCAATGACGCCAAACTCGTTTGGGAAGCGTTGCACAACAACGAGGTGATGATGCGAGATGTTGGTTTGAGATGGAGACCTGAATTGAATGAAGTGCAATGATGATGACGATGGAGGTGGTGACATGATGAGGGGCAAGCAAGGTGCTGAGTGCCCCCTCCCCCACTTGCTTGGGTGGTGGCTGGTTGGTGAGGGTTGTGGATTTGGGTGGCTTTGCTTGTCTGTGGCAATTGTAACAACTGTAATGTGGCAAGTCTGTTTCACCAATTCACGTTCTCAGCCTGTTTGTTTCCCCTCTGACCTACCTCCTCCTCCTCTGACTCGTCGCCACTTGACTCGCACAACTTACACACACACACACAGAGTATATGCATACTCACGCAGTCTCTCATTCCCCACACGCATTCCACACACACACACACACACACACACACACACACACACACACACACACACACACACACACACACACACACACACACACCTCTGCACAAACGCGCGCACGTTCAAAGCACAGACGGAGGCGGCCGGTTGTCGTCGTTTGGTCACACCACACCCCGACCACCATGCCACCAATGGCGGCTAGATTGCCGCTGGCCTGGCTGACCTTGGCTCTGCCGCTGCTGGTGCTGCTGGTGGCGGTCCCACCAAGCCCAACAGCAGCAGCATCTGCCACACAGCCGGCCACAGATGCGGCCACGCAAATCAACGTCACTGCCATGATTAACCAGACGCTTGTCGCAAGACAGACACCGCGCACCCTCCGAATCGGCTACATGGCCACGAGGTTCGTCGTGTGCTCCGATGTTCCTGACATGTGCAGCTACTTGGCGTCTGGGATCCGACTTGTCGCAAACTGTACCGCCCCCTGTCTCTACGTACCTGCTTCAATCATCCACTCTTCACCATGCTTCGACCGCATGCTGAAATGTGTTAAACGTGCACGTGCACTCAAACTCCTCGACCTTTGCTTGCTCGACGTCACGATCACTCGTGTGTGTGTGTGCGTGTGTGTGTGTCTGTCTGTCTGTGTATGTGTGTGTACGTTTGTCTGTGTGTCTGTGTGTGCCTGTGTCTGTCTGTCTGTGTCTGCGTGCCTGTGTTTGTCTCGCACAAACACACACACTTTCTCTCCGTCTGTGTGTTATCGCAGGAGCTTCTATGGCAAGTTTGTGATTGGCGGGTTCCTAGCGGAGCTGATCATGCGGGCAGCCAACGAGTTCTGGCAAGCGCAAGGGGACCAGATCCAAGTCGAGGTGAGTGACATGATTCATCCCATCCAGTGCACAAATGGGATCACGCCAGCGGCGTGGGATTGACTGAGTGAACAACGTGCTGGTTCTTGCATGATACACGCTCGAGTGGCGGGCGCCTGAGCTATGCATACACTGCGCTGCTGCATTGTTGTTGTGCTTCTTTGTTTGTTTGTTTTGTTTACCTCGAGCGCTTCCTCAACCCGCACCCGCCTACGTCTCGCATGCTCACCGACTGCTTTGTTCTGCAGCTCGTGTACGGAGAGGCGTCCACGACCACAACAGAGTCTGCCAGCACGCGCTGCGCTGCAGTTGCCAACCAGCTCGTGCAGGAGGATGTGCACGTGGTCATTGGCCCACCATCCAGCGCATGCTCCCAGCCGTCCGCCGCCGTTTTCGGGCAGGCAGGCATCCCTCAGGTGCGTCGCTTGTGCGTGTGCGTGTCTGTGTCTGTGTGCCTGCGTGTCTGTCTTGTCTGTCTGTATGTCTGTGAGCATGTCTTCATGTGTTGAGATGTGACGGTGTGGCTGTGTGTGTGTGTGTGCGTGTGCAAGCTCTTTACTGCCTGTCCCTTTACCGCCTGTCTCAGTCCGCACCTCCCAACACAAATGTATGCGCCTGCTCCCCTTCACCTCCTCTGCAGATCTCACACAGCGCCACCTCCCAAGCGCTCAGCGACAAGGACACCTTTCCGACATTCTTCCGCATCCCACCGTCGGGTACGAACACGATGTGCGTGTGCGTGTGCGTTTGCATTCGTGTGTGTGCGTGTGTGTGTGTGTGTGTGTGTGTGTGTGTGTGTGTGTGTGTGTGTGTGTGTGTGTGTGTGTGTGGTGTGTGTGTGTGTGTGTGTGTGTGTGTGTGTGTGTGTGTGTGTGTGTGTGCATCTCTCCCCCTCTCTTCCCGTATCTCTGTGTCTGCGTGGGTGTCTCTATTATTTACGCCCCACTCGGCGCTCCACAGCATTGACCGCCAAACTCAAACTCCCACTCATCCTGATTTGCGCGCTGTCCAGATGCGCGCCAAGCAAAAGTGCTTGCAGGCATTGCCGCCGGCTGCAGCTGGTCCTCCATCGGCATCATTGGTGCGCTCGTTTGTTTGTGTGTGTGTGTGTGTGTGTGTGTCTGTGTCTGTGTCTGTGTCTGTCTGTCTGTATCTGTGTCTCTGTACTAGTGTGTGGCATCGTGGCCCTGCATCATTTTGCACACACAATGCATGCACGAGCACCGCAGTCGCCGCTACAGCTCATCTGCACACGTGCATCGACAGCCACGACGGACGCGTGGGGGCAGGGCCTGGTCAACACGCTGTACACGGAGCTCGCCAAGCAGAACATCACCGTCGGACAGCAGCTGCTCCTGCCACAGGTTTGTTGCATGTCTGTGTGCTGGGGGGTGGTTGTTGGGGGGTTGTGGGCTGTGGAGTGTGCGTGTGGCGTTGAGTTGCGACATGAAATGCATTCAGCTTGCGTCTTTGATTGAACGCAGGCCCTTCTCACAACACACACGCATACACGCGCGCAGGGCCGACCGCTGGAGAACATCACGGCAGAGTTTCAACAGTACAAGCGCAGCAGCGTCTCCAGCGTCAACATCCTCATCGCCCTTCGCGTCAGTTGTTGTAGGCATCTGTCTTGCATCATGATGCCTGCGTGCATGCAGGCATGTTCGCGAAGAGGTTGAGGGGTAGAGGCAGCAACTTCCCTGCCAAATTTGGCTCCGCTGACAACAACCTTTCGCTGCATGTGTGCGCTTGTGTTTCCAGGAGGATGCCATCCAGTTTGTGAGCGCGGCCATCGCTGTTGGCATGACGGGTCCAGGGTGGACATGGCTTGGTAAGAGATTAGCCAAAAGCCAGCGAAGTTGAGTGTGGTGTTGGGAAATGACTGAGTGCACATCCTGAAAAAGAGGCCACCAACAACTGTAACGACGCGTCTCATTCCCACGCACTCACGCTCACACTCACTCACTCACTCACTCACTCACTCACTCACTCACACTCACACTCACACTCACACTCATATACACATACACGCGCACTCACTGGACAGCCTCTGACGGGGTTGCGACGAATACGGGCATCACGAGCGACCTGCTCGAGTTCATGGCGGGCATGGTTGGTGTGCAGCCCCTCTCTGTCAGCGGCCCGCTCAGCACCGCATTCCACACCTTCCCAGACAGGTGCGTGTGTGCGTGTGTGCATGTGTGTGTGTGTGTGTGTGTGTGTATGTCTTGTCCGTTCGTGTCGACAATGGTGCGCGTTCTTGGCTGACGTGTGCGTGGATGCGTCTCTGATACGCTGCCGCATGGACGCTTTTGAAGAGGCTCCCCCCCCCCTTCCAATCGCTTGCTCACATGCAGTTACATTGCTCCTGTCTTGCATAACACCATTGACACGAATCCCCGATCTCTGTACCACCACCACGTACACCACCTCCACCACTGATTATCCACGCCATGCGTTGCCTGCATGCACGGAGCAGCCTGAAGTATTCTGCGTATGTACAGGACACGTCCATTCCCAGCTTCTCCTCGCGCCTCTTTGACGCCGTCAGCGCCGCCCGCATCGCTGCAAACACAGCGCCCCACTGGAACGGCACGCACGCAGACAAGCAGAGGTTCTGTCGCAACTCTGTGTGTGTGTGTGTGTGTGTTGGAGGTTGCTTTGGGTTGTGTGGCGATGCTTCTGCTTGCTGCCGTTCGTGCCGCTGCGTATGAACTGAACAAACCACCCTCAACAATCACCTCACGTGCGTGCCCTCTTCTCTCCGCACCATCAGAATGATGTTGTCGCAGCTGCGGTCGTTCAACTCCGTTGCCTCGGGCATCCCTGGTGCTTCCAGCGAAACCATCTTCTTTGATGACAAGCAGGTATCCACCATTCTATCCACCATGCACCGTGCTCTCGGGTGACGTGTGTGGGGGGGGGGTCGTTGCCGACATTGATCTCTTGCTCCATGTGCACCAGTGGTATCCGGCACACGATGCAGCAGCAGCACCATTGCGACAACGCGCCTCGTGCCTGTACATCACACAACTCTATCCACCCGATACTCCCGACCCATGACAGCGATCTCAATCGCAACCATCATTTCAACGTTAGTGACACCCATGGCCCTGCCTCTGTTCACTCTCGCGCTTGCAGGACGGCCCTGCGTTCTACGAAGTGGTGAACGTCGTTGATGCTGCTTACGTTCGTGTTGCACTCGTCGAAGCAGGCACTTTTGCTCCAACCAACGTACGCAAACCTTTTGTGTTTGTTGGTGTGCGTGCGTGTGTGTGTGTGTGTGTTTGTGAGTAGGTGACCCTGTGGAAGATGTTATGGTTGCCGGCATTGCTCTGTTCAACACACCAACGAGGGGTGCGACCAGAGCTGCAACTCGTGCATGCGCCCATGAATGAACTTCAATCACAACTGTTCACGCACTGCCGTGTTATTGCTGTGTCGTCGTCGTGGTGATGTATCGTAACGCCAGACGCCTGTGCAATGGGCAGATCCGACCAGGACCGGCTTCACGTCGTGCCCATCCCAACTGCCTCCCCGTGAGTGCAGCAAACACGCTCACGTATTGTATGACGCGAAATGATTCTGGATATATAGCAGTGATTTTCGACATTGCAACCGTCACACACTTACACACACACACACGCACGCACAACCTGGCTGCGCTTCACGCTTGTGTCCACGACAGGCGAACCCGTCCAAGGGGGCACGTCCGACATCAACAACTCGCTTGTGATTGTTGTTGCCCTGCTGGCCGTTCTATTTGTGATTGTCACCGTCGTCTCCGTGATTGCCTACAAACGCAACAAGTACGTACACCCATGCGCGGCGTGTGTGTGTGTGTGTGTGTGTGTGTGTGTGTGTCGGTCGTTGTGGGTGATGCTGCTATGCTCTTCCCCGAAAGTGCACTGCCTTGCCCTGACGGTTTGCGTATGATGCGTCTATATTTCTGACGACACCAGGGTGAAGCAGACACCGCACGACTTCTCCGAGGACCTGAAGGAGACGGGGCTCGGCACGGATACCGACGTCCTGCTCCCCGTACGTCCATTCCATGACACTTGATGCCAGTAATTTCCATTTAACAGTCGCACATACACATACGTGTGCACGCATGCGCAGCAGAGCTGCATGCAGGCAGCGTGACATATTGTGACAATCACTTCGCCCTAACACCGTCACGTCACCACCATGACCCTATCGCCACCATCACCGACACACCCGGCAGCCGCAAGAGCTGCGACGCAACACGATCAAGATTGGGGAGAAGCTTGGTGCTGGCCACTACGGACAGGTGTTCAAGGGCTCGCTCGACCAGTCCCTGGCAAGGGGTCTTCCCCACCGGCAGGTTGCAATCAAGGTGCGACACAGCGTAGCCGGTTATGCTCTGTGTGTGTGTGTGTGTGTGTGTGTGTGTGTGTGTGTGTGTGTGTGTGTGTGTGTGTGTGTGTGTTGTGGAGAGCATCCAAGAGTGACCGGCTCCAAGGTTTATCGCCTTTGAACCACCACTCTTCGTGTCATTCGTATCGTTCAATTCATCCCCCTCCACATCCTGCTGTGCCGTGCAGATGTGTCATGATAACGCGACAGCACAAGACGTCACGTCTCTGCTGAAGGAGGCGGCGTACATGGCCCAGTTCAAAGGACACGTCAACGTACGTGCCACACACACACACACACACACACACACACACACACACACACACACACACACACACACACACACACACACACACGCAGCCACATTCACACAGACACACATGACACGTTGGTGTTCACGTTCTCACATCCCACCTGCCCATATGACTCATCAACTGAGTTCACCAATATCGCCTCACACACACACACACACACACACACACACATGCCCTCATCTTTCCACCCACTGCCTTTCCGCTTCCAACCCTCACACATCCATGGCAGGTGGTTGGCCTGGTTGGCGTTGTGACGCGCGGGCGGCCCGTGATGGTCGTGATGGAGTTCTGCGAGCACGGCAGCCTTGACCGCTATCTGCGCACCACCTTCCAGCGCGTGCAGCTGTCCTTCATCTCCAAACTTCGCATGGTATCGTGCATGTTGGCTGGATACGTACAGGGGCAACGGGGATTGGGGCCTCCTGCGTGTGGTGCTGCCTCCTTCACACGGTGTTGCTGAGAGCGTTGTTAGAAGTGGGCTCTCTCACGCACACACTCGCTCACACATGCACTCACTCATGCATGCACACACTCACACTTTATCGCACTGTCTCTCACATCACACACGCGCGCCCTCCCGTGTGGTGTGTAGGGCTTGGATGTGGTCGAAGGCATGTGCTTCATCAGCAGCAAAAGTATTTGTTTCACATATTCTGGCAGCTTCTTTTGTGTTTTTTCGCACGCACGAGCCATTTCCACCGTCATCCGCTTTGATATGTGCGCGTGTGCATGGAAGCGTCAATTGCAAGCGTGATTTGCATGCGCGCGTGCGCGTGCATGTGCGAGTGTGTGACGCCATCCTGCCGCTAACGGTCTCTGCTGCTCGCCACAGGTGCCATTCATCGCGACTTGGCGTGCCGAAACATTCTCGTCACGCAAGACTTCGTCTGCAAGGTTGTGCACACGCGCGTGCTGCACAGGAAGAGAAGAGCTTGTTTCCAGTGAATGTGTCGGCAGTTTTGGAAGTGCACTCGCACCCGAAGCATGCTCACACAAATTCCATCAAACAATGAACAAACTCTTACACAACCACACACACTCACATAATTGCTTGTGGCACAGATCACTGACTTTGGACTGGCGCGGAAGGAGACGCACTACACATCCACGTCGCACACGGTGCCCATCAAGTGGACTGCTCCAGAAGCCTTGGTTGGTCACCAGTGCCTGCCAGCAAGATGGATTTTGTGTAGCTGCCACACGCTCTCGTCCAACCTCTCAGACATTCGGCCTCACGATGCATGCATGCCCTCACTCCCTCACTCCCTCACACACACACACACACACACACACACACTATCTCTCTCTCTCTCTCTCTCTCTCTCTCTCTCTCTCTCTCTCTCTCTCTCTCTCTCTCTCTCTCTCACACACACACACACACACTCTCACACACTCTCACACACACACAATCACGCGCATGCGTGTCCAGTCGAAGGGACGGTTCAGCACCAAGTCGGACGTGTGGAGCTTCGGCGTGTGCATGTGCGAGATTTTCCTCAACGGTAGCTCGCCGTATCCAGGACAGTCCAACGAGGCCGTGCGCGTTGGCCTCACATGCGGCTACCTCAGGTTGCAAATGCCGTGCCTATGTGTGTGTGTGTGTGTGTGTGTGTGTGGTGTGTGTGTGTGTGTGTGTGTGTGTGTGTGTGTGTGGTGTGTGTGTGTGTGTGTGTGTGTGTGTGTGTGTGCGTCTGTCTCCGTCTGTCTGTTTGTATCAACGCGTATGCAAGTTAACGTGTGCATGCTTGAGGATCCCTTCGCATGCAGCGCGCCCGCGCTCACGTCCATGTGCAATGCACAACTGTCGATCATCACCACCGCAGACACCCGCAGGTGCCGGGGATGCCGGACAACCTCTATGCCATCCTCAAGAAATGCTGGGCAGAGGTACTGACCGGGGCCAATGGCCACAGAGGGCGCGCGCGCGCGCGTGTGTGTGTGTGTGTGTGTGTGTGTGTGTGTGTGTGTGTGTGTGTGTGTGTGTGTGTGTGTGTGCGAGAGAGAAAGAGAGACGTGCACACAGACAGGGAGACACACACGCACATTTGCCTTGTTTTCTCTGGTTAACTATGGCTTCGGGCAGGTTGCCTTGATATGCGTTGTGCATACACATCTCCGCTTCCCCTGAACACCTTCGCCTTGCTCATTCCCTCATTCTCTCCAACATCACCTCGGTCTACTGTTCTTCTTCCGTCCAACCCGCAACACCCCTCGAAACAATTAGGAACCTGAACACCGCCCCACCTTTGCCGAGCTCCGACAACAACTTATCTATTTGGTGCGTCGTTGTTGTCTCCCGCCTTCTACTCTACGCATTGGTCAGCTTGTGTTTCTAGCATGAGTTGCGAGCGCGCGCACGTGCGCACCAGTCAACAGCATTCAATTGCTCACGCCACCTTTTTCTCGTATGTGTGCGAATGTCTACATGTGCGCCTCTGTGTGTGTGTGTGTGTGTGTGTGTGTGTGTGTGTGTGTGTGTGTGTGTGTGTGTGTGTGTGTGTGTGTGTGTGTGTGTGTCGGCTGGGCAGATTGATGACGACCCTGCACTCTCCATGCTGCGGCTGCAAGAAAAGGCCATTCACAGCGACTCTGTGTAAGCGCGCATGAAGTTGCAACATCGTGCTTGGTTCCGTGAGCACAGTCACATCAGCCTCCTGCTTACATGTTTGTCTGTGTGTGTGCTCATTTCTGCTTGCTGCCATAATGTGTGAACGCCACAGGTCCATGAATTCAAGTCGAAACAACTTGGCTGCCTCTATGGAAGGTATGTCTGGCGTCATTCTCCCGATACCCGTGTCACATCACGTGCTTGCCGAATGGTGTTTGCGTCCACGAACCCAGCCCGCCTTGTGCCCGTGAGTACGCAATGCACGCTATTCACACACGCGCGCACACACACACACATACACACACGTGCACATGTTCGCCGTTGACTGCCAACTCAGGGCGGACATCACGGTCCCCGAGTGTGACGGAGAACACGATAGAGACGTTCACAGCTGTTGGCATCACAGAGGAAGCTGACATCAACCACGATCATGATGACGATGGTGAAGGCAATGATGATGGTGGTGGTGGTGGTGAAGGCGATCGCGCTGGCGATTCTGACGACGAACATGGTAATTGTGATTCCACGAGACACGCCACGCAGCAGCAACATGCCCACTCACCCGCCGTCATCACCATCCAACCTGATGACGGTATCATGCGGACAACATCGCCGCACATGAGCAATTCCGGATTTGTTGCGCAGCGCCCCTATTCCGACCAACGCGCAGACTCCAGCTTTGTTTGAGACGTGTGTGTGTGTGTGTGTGTGTGTGTCTGTGTGTCTGTGTCTGTGCGTCTCTGTCTCTGTCTATCTGTCTATGGATGTGTGTCTACTTGTGTGGGAGTAATTTTGATTGTTTTCTCTGGCGATGTGCCTGTTTTGCTTGAGTTTTCGTAGCTGACATGTACACTGCTGATGTGCTTTCTTATTTCCGCTCATCCAACCCATCCATGCTTCGTTCGTTGTCGTGTGATGTCATGTGCTGGTTAGGGTCGTGCTTCCAACCGTTATTGTCTTGACCCATCGCTTCTGTGCATTATTTTTTTCCATCCTTTTCTGTCCCTCTTGCTGCATGCATGCCCGTGTGCAGTGTGCATTTCATCCTAATATACAACCCAATCCCGGACCACTTTGACGTGCAAACTGGCACACTTGTCAGGCACACCCACACGCACACACACACACACACGCACACACACACACACGCACACACATGCACGCACACACTCATACATACACACACATGCACGCACATACGCCCTCGCGATTGGTTGATCGGTGTATTGACAACATATTGAAAGAAGTGCACAACAAACGAGCAAAGATGAGCAAGCAAGGAATCAAGCAAGCATTCAAGCAAAGAAAACATCGTGCATGCAGCAGCAAGGGCGCCCATCCAACCATTCCAAGTCCACCCATGTAGGGGCGCACATGAGCAGGCAAGGGGGCGAGAGCTACACATGCACGCGTGCGGGCAAGGGACATGTACACACAGCGGGAATCTGGGATGATCGTGCACAACTCGCAATCAACTACGCATGTTGCAACTGCGGCGACGCACGCAAGCACACAAACGCACACACACACACACACACACACACACACACACACACACACACACACACACACACACAACTAGACGGTGAGTACAGGCATCGGTTTTGCCTCTGCGGCTTCGGCGGTGTCCTGCTTCTCCTCTTCTTCTCCCTCTGCCTTGTCCCCCTTCTTCGCATCAACGGCCTGGCTCGTGGCCATGCTTGGCGGTGGGCTGCGGGGATCCTCAGGCTTGAGGGCGCCGTCGTCATCGCCCCCAGCAACAACCGCCTCACCTTCCTTATCCTCACCCTTCTTCTCCCCTGCCTCCTCCTGCTTCTCTTCCTCTCCCTTCTTCTCCTCTGCCTCTTCGCTATCCTTCTTCCCCACGGCTGTGCTTGTTGCCATGCTGGGTGGCGGGCTGCGGGGATCCTCGGGTTTGGCGGATTCGGCGTCGTTGTCCTCTGTTGACTTCTCCTCGCTCTCCTTCTCAATCTCAGCAGCTGTCTCCGCCTCCGCCTCCTTGCTCGGCTCGGCCTCTTCCTCCCCGCCCTCCGCCAGGGGCTCCAGCGTCTGTTCAATGTCCTCCTTTGTTGGGCCGCTGGCGCTTGGCCCCGCCGTGCTGGTCGCCATGCTTGGCGGTGGGCTGGGCGGACCCTCGGCATCGCTTGTCTTCTTCTCGCTCGCGACCTGCGCTTCGGCAGCGGACGAGGGGGCTGCGCTGGGGTCGACGTGCTTGTCCAGCCACTCCACGATCATGGTGTGAATCTTCTCCGACGCCTCGGGCAGCTCGTGCAGCAGGTTGTGACGGTGCTCGGGGAAGGTCACGAGCTTTTTGTCCTTGCTGCCGGCGTTGTCAACGAGGAAGCGGGAGGCGACCATGGACGTGATCTTGTCGTCCTCGCCGTGCAGGACGAGGAGCGGCGCCGTGATCTTGTCCACGCGCTTCTCCAGGTCCTCGCAGGCTGCAAGCACGGCCATGGCAAAGCAGGCGCGCATCTTGCCGTGGTACACGAGCGGGTCGGCCTTGTAGTCCTCGACTTCGTCCTTGTTGCGGCTGATCCAGTCCAGCTCGAGGCGGGTCACGCCCAGGCGGGGCGCCACCTTGTTCAGCATCTTGGCCATGCGCACGCGGCCTTTTGTGGCGGTGCGCGGGTCGGGCTTGACGGCGGGCGCCACGAGCACCATGCCGTCAACGCGGACCTGCGTGTTCACGAGGCAGGCGATGAGGCCGCCCAGGGAGATGCCCGCGAGGAAGATGGGGAGGTTCGGGTGCACACGGCGCAGCTCGCGCACCTCCGCCACCACGTCGCGCACGTACACGTCAAAGTCGTGGATGACATTGCGTTCGCCGTCGCTGCGGCCGTGCCCCACGTAGTCGTGGGCCACCACCTTGTAGTTGGCGGCGTTGAGGCGCTCGGCCGTGGAGTCGTAGCGGCGGCAGTGCTCCATGCCGCCATGCAGGAAGAACACGATGCCCTTTGGCTCGGCACTGCAGGCGTCCCACACATGCCGGTGCAGCCTCTGGCCGTCCTCGTTCACAAGCACCTTGCCTCCATTCTCGAGGCGGATGTTCCAAGTGCGCTTTGCGCGCACCGTCGATTGTCGCCGCACAGGCATGCTTGCTGTTGCTGCTGCTGTTGTTGCTTGTCGTTCTGGGTGTCAAAGAGGCGAGAGAGAGTGTGTGTGTGAGAGTGAGAGCGTGTGTGTGTGGTGCTCTGGTGCGGATGAATGAATGGATGCTGGCTGATGATGAAAGTGGGTGGAGTGGCGTCAAGCCAAGCGAAGAAGCAACAAGAGAGTGCGCAAACAGGCAATGCCGCCGAATATTTACTGAAAATGTACACAAAAGCCGTCTCCAAAATAAAAACCCCACGACACACAAAGATGTGTGTCGTCGCGTGGAAGGAAGGACAGCAGGTGGATGCGGACTGCACACGCACACACACACACACACGCACAAGCACAAGCACACGCACACACGCACAAGCACACGCACGCACGCACACACACCTACACACACACACACACACATGACTATGCGTGGGGCTTCTTGTGCTTGTCTCGCATGCGCCCGCGCTTTGGGAGGGCAAGGTGGTGGAGGCGAGAGGCATTGACGTGGAGTTGGATGGCTGGTGTTGCACCCAAGGAGATGGAGGACCGCGACGATGACGATAGCTTTGGTGACACGCAGCGCCTGCACAGACACGCATGCATACGGATGCAGACAGCACATGCAGACAGCACATGAGCCATGAGAGTCATGATGCAGTTGCAAGTGGTGCGGCTTCTGACGTTTGGGTACAAGAGATCAACCGAGCACAAGCGCAAGCGCGCATCACGTGCAAAGCAAAGCATTTCAGGACTTGACTTCAACGTACACACACACAACACACGCAACGCACCGACACAAGGACACAACACGGACACACATATCACCAACACTGCATTAATCACACACATCAGGCAATGTATTGTTGGTGTTTTGACTCACGTCAAGACGGCAGGTTGCTTTCGCTGCAAGACGGTGTTCAGCATGGCACGATACGCCGCCTCGTGGCGTTGGCTCAGCTGGTTCTTCTTTACACAGCGCCCACGGGCTGTGGTCCTACTCACCAGGGAAAAAAGCATGCAAAGCAGCGAGGCAAGGAAGCAGCGAGACAGCAGGGGAGAGGAGTGCGTCATGGAGAAGGTGCGGCCATGAGACACACACACACACCCGCCTGCATGCCCGCATACATACACACCACAGCACAGTTCGATCACCTGAACGTATCTGCGTTGGCGACAGCTTTCTTCATGTCTGCCACCTGGTCCAGGCGCTGTGATCGTGCGTGGCGCTGTTGCTCATGCTGGGCGCAATAGTAGCGGGGTGTCATTAACGATACGAAACCGTGAGAGAGGGTGTGTGTGTGTGTGTGTGTGTGTGTGTGTGTGTGTGTGTGTGTGTGTGTGTGTGTGTATGTGTGTGTGTGTGTGTGCGTGTATGTGTGTGTGTGTGTGTGATAGATGTGAACGAGTTGGGTCAGTGCAGCACACACACACGTGTACAAGTACACCTCCATGCATGCACATCTAGACGTATTCATACCTCCCCCCCCTCCCACACACACACACACACACACACACACACACACACACACACACACACACACACACACACACACACACACACACATACACATACACATACACACACACACCTTCAGGTCTTGCAGCTCCTTGAGATGCATGGATTGCTGCAGCCGGAGCAACGCCTGCCGCTTTTCCCGCTCAAAGCGCACCTCCAGCTGCGCTAGCCGCTCAGACGTCTGGTGATAAAGAGGAGGCAAAGCAAACACGTCAACCCAACAGCAGCGTCAATGCGAGCAATGGCACACGAGCGTAATTCTTGGGCATGCATGATGACAATCAGCCCTGACACAACAGCGCCCACCACCACTCACAAGCTGCTGCCGTGCCCTTGACTCCGCCTGTGCGTCCAGCTGTGCTGTGACGTGCTGGCGCGAGGCACGCCTGGATCGCTCCAGCTGCAGTCGCATGAGTGTTGCACGCCGCTCCTTCTTGGACAAGCTGCCCCTGCTCTTGCGTAATGCCGCCAGTTTCGCCTCGTGCTCTTCTCGCTCCCGCTTCTCCCGGATGGCGCGCTGGCGCTTGCGGATTCTACAAGCAAGGCACGCATTGCACTGGTGAGTCCTTGTGTGGGTTGTGGGGCGGGGGTGGATGTTGGTGGTGTTGGCGACGTTGTTGGCAGCAACACTAGCGGTTGCTGCGCGCTGCCGGCGAGGTGCCAAGGCGGGCATGGAAGTAAAAGGGCATCGACACACAAGTTGACAGGCAACCCAAACACGCAATCATTTGTGCAGCAGTAGCAAGCGATCACCACAAGGCAGCAAAGCACCAACACACGAGCCATGGCTGACCTGTTTCGCATGGCGCGAAGGTCACGCTCGTGGCGCTTGCGCACGCGATAGCCACGAAAGGCAGACTGCAATATCAACACTGCACGTGCCGTTGCCGTGTCACCACGCATCATCTTCGCGGCATACTAGAGGGATGATGACAGTGTACGAAGAGGAAAGCAGGAGAGGTGCATGCGTTGATGTGCGCGCAGGAACGAAGGGCACGGGTGAGTATTCCAGTATTGGGTGGACGTACAGCAAAGTGATCGATGCACACACGGCACCCGCAGCGCAACACACACACACACACACACGCGCACACACACACACACACACGCACGCACGCACGCACACACACACGCACATGCGTGCAACACGCACGCAGCACAACACACAAGGCATACTTCATCACACAGAGGAGCACTGCCCAAGCATGAGCAAAAACGTACGCATTGTCTAAACCAAGATGCGATGGTGCCAACAGCTCGCCGCTTCGCCTGAAACTCAGAGCGAGCCTGGTCAAGGAACGTCGCATTTGGTGCGTGTGTGCGTGTGTGTGTGTAGGTGTGTGTGTGTGCGCGCGCGCGCGTGTGTGCGTGTGTGTGTGTAGGTGTGTGTGCGCGTGTGTGTGTGTGTGTGTGCGTGTGTATGCATGTATGGGTGCGGCGTCAACACAAGCAATGGACAGTCACTCCACTCTCCAGCCAAGAAGAGGACCAAATAAGAAGCGAAAAGACAACCAAAACTGCAAGCAAGCGTGAGGACTTGAGGACAGTCGCATTTCAACACACAGGCATACCCCTGTCCCCTACAAACAGCCCCACCTTGTAACCCTTCCAGTGCTTCTGGATACAGAGTGCAGCACGCGGAATAATCTCAGCGGCTGTCTCTCCGCCAGCCTTGATGAGAAGGTCGCACACTTGCGTCAGTGCGCCTGCATTGCTTGGGCTTGCCTCAAGCTCGCCAACAGCATAATCAAGCGGCGTGCTCCTGTCATCGCTCTTGTCCAGGGCGTTCACTGCCACCGCGGGGTGCGCAAGCAGCGCAGACACGCACCCAACAGCACCGCGCGCAGCCGCCCTGTTGTTGTGGGTGCGTGTGGTTGGTGTGTGGTGTTTGCAAAATATCTTCAAAGGAAACGGGTGGTGTGGCAGAAAAGTTGCAGAAAGTCCCAGGAAAATCTATTCTCCGTTTCCTCTCTTACCAATGAAGTGCTGTTAAGCCTTGTTCGTCTTGACGGCTTACGTCCTGTCGTGTGGACGTGAAATGCAGACCGCGTGAGGGACGCCGTGATGCGCAGCGGTGTTTGACGCAAGTGCACTTGCAGCCAAATCATGCGTGACTGACATACACGCGCATGCACACCTACAAATGCACACACACACACACAAGCACGCACACACACACATACGCAAACACGCACACGCACACGCACGAACCGCGTTGTGGCGCAGTAGTGCATCCACAGATTGAAGGTCGTCATAATTGCACGCGTACATCAACGCCGTCATGTCAGACTCGTCGTGCGCATTCACATTCAAACTTTGCGGCACAACAGCCGCTGCCCGCTCTGCACATGATGATGGTTGCGTGTAAATGTTGTGCCGCATCATGACAACACGCATCACAGCAAACCAATGACAGTTGAGCGCCAGGTAGGACGTTGTGGGACAAGGCAACACCGAACAACTCCAAGGTCACGGACCGGAAGCAAGCGAGTAGGCTTTCATCTGTATGTGTGCGTTCATGACATTGTTCACGCATGTATGTGTGTACATGTGTACGCGTGTGGGGAGGTGTCGCCTTCCTCCCACACTCGTCCACTTTCACCTCACCTTGCATGATCCAAGCCCGGTAATCGAGAAGCACACACAGCATTGCAGGCTGTCTGTTGCTCGCAGCAAGCAGAACCAGAGGCACCTAAAGCAAAACAACAACCACACAACGCACAAGGTAAGAATCACGTCATGCTGGGAGCGTGGATGTTCGTGCCTTGATCGCATTTCAGGGGCTTTGCCGTCCGAGAGGTTTTGCACATTCACGCATATACAACACATAGACAACGCACATGCAACCAAAGCACAAGCGCACGCGAAGGTGTGCGCAAAGGAAAAACGGGGTGCGTCAGGTGGATCGTCTCGTACCAGAGTGTCGTCGCAGAGGAACGGGCTGAGCTCAACAAAACAGCGGAAGGTTTCAACACAACCCGCAATGATGCACGCTGACACCGCTGCAATTGTAACATCATTAATCCATGCATGCATGCATGCATGAATTGATAGGTTTGCAGTCGTTACGCATGAGGGCGTTGACTCTCTGGTTTCCCATTGACATGCCACTGTTCATATACATGCACACTTGTACACGCGCGCAAATCAGTCCACATCCACATGACAACGTACGCGTGAGAGTGTCCGTGTCCTCGGCATGCATGTCTGCACCGCTTTGGACGAGAATCCGACAGATAAACGCGCCCTTTCGCTGCGTCGCCGCCCACAGCAGCGGTGTCCGTCCCTGCAACGTGTGTGGTGTGTGTGTGTGTGTGTGTGTGTGTGTGTGTGTGTGTGTGTGTGTGTGTGTGTGTGTGTGTGTGTGTGTGTGTGTGTGTGTGTGTGTGTGTGTGTGTGTGTGTGTGTGTGTGTGTGTGTGTGTAAGTGTGTGTGTGTGGGGGGGGGGGGTTGTGGGTGTGTGGGTGAGTGGAAATGTGTAAGTGATTGAGGGTGTGAATGAGAGTGTGTGTGTGTGCTTATTCAAGAAAAGAGACGACCGTGAGTGTAAGGACACCCTGAGCACCAGCACAAGAGGATGGTCGCAGAATCAATGCACCACCTGTGCGTGCTTACATTTCTGTCTTTGACGCCGACAGCAGACTGATCGTGCGCCACGAGCACGCGAAGACACACGAAGTGGCCATGTGCAGCAGCACTGTTGCGCACATATGTGTGTGCGTGTGTGTGCGTGTGCGTGTGCGTGTGCGTGTGAGCGTGCGTGTGCGTGTGCGTGTGAGCGTGTGTGTGTGCGTGTGTGTGCGTGTGTGTGCGTGTGCGTGTGCGTGTGCGTGTGCGTGTGCGTGTGCGCGTGAGCGTGCGTGCGTATGTATGTGAATGCAACGTGAAGAAACGACGCATCATGAATGAACGTTGTCTGGCACTTTCACATGACAACAACACATCTTTTGAGGACTCACTGGTGCGCGGGTGTGAAACTGTCAATGTCAAGGCGATGTGCATCCGCCCGGGCACACATGAGCACGTGTGCAGCCTGCACCACACACAATGCAAGGGTGCATTCCAAGAGGCGTCGTCAGTGAAGGTGGTACACGCATTCACACCATTCACACAAACTCGCGCTCACAAGCACTCGCTCACAACCTCACACAATCGCCCACCACCAACCCCCCCCCCCCCCCAAACACACACACACACACACACACAACCGCGCGGTTTGTACCTCTGCACTGCCGACGGCGCATGCCCAGTGCAGCGGTGTTCGACCGTCTGAGTCTTCTGCGTGCACATCTGCTGCTGGATGGGAGAGAAGACCTTCAAGCATAGCAACGCGGTTGTTTGCAGCAGCTAAATGCACAGCGAGTTGGCCCTGAAACGAGATGACGCAATCGAAGTCATCGTGTCATGTGAGACACTGCTCAAACAAAGCTCAACCACACATACACTAAGATAGACATTCATCCCAGCGGGGTGCCTCAACAGCACGCGACAGCACAACCACGCCAGCACCATGACGGCACACGCACACACACACACGCACACACACACACACACACACACACACACACACACACACACACAGGACAAGGCGTGGACAGCTGGCAAACACGAACAAAGAGCAGGCTCGCATGCATGCGCTGTTGATCGACGCACGTGTTGGTCGGGTGCAGTCAGAAGCTGGCGTGCTTGTGCGGAGCGAAGAAGCAGCAGCATGCAATCCAGGTGACTCAGTTCACGGCACTTGGAGGATGGGGCCAGTGGACCGCCTGTCCTGTAGCGCCGGCGACGATGACAGCGTTTCAGCCGCTGTTTGAAGGCGCGATTGTCCCGCAGGGTTGCAAAGTCTTGGATGCAGAACGACGCGCTGCTTTGTTCGGCTGCAGCTGCGTCACGTTTGGAGCTGTGCTTGTTCTCTGCTGTCCGCTTGCTCACGTCTTGCTGTCGTTGACTATCACTGCCATTGATAATATTGCCTGTCTCACTCACAGGTGCTTGCGTTGTATCACAACCATCATCATCGACACTATCGCGCCCATGCCCGCCACCATGCAGTTCTGTATTGCTGCCACTGCCATTACCGTGCATGGCATGTGCTGGGTCGCCTGCCACGTGTTTACCTGGCCGGGAGATGCTGGTGCTGCTCATGGAGGTCACAGTTGTGCTCGGAAGCAGCTGCGAAGGTGCACTTGGCCACACAGCGCTGGTGAGCAGCGGGGTTGCCGACCCAACAAGGCAGGCGCTGGGTGTGTGTTCGTCGCCGTTTGGGTTTGAAATTGCGCCAGGCTTGTTGTTGGTATTGTGGTTGCTCTGGGCTGCCGGCCCTGTGTTGTGCTTGCACGCTTGTTGCTCGCCCATCTTTGATGATGGCGAGTCCATTGCCTGCATGCACAGATGATGCAACGCGGTGTGCTGCTGGAGATCGCACCTCGTCGGGTCTGCACCCGCCTTGAGCAACACCTTTAACACGCGCGCCCGGCCACACTGCACCGCCCAGTGCAGCGCCGTCAACTGCGTACACGTGTGTGAATAGGTGAATGTGTGTGTGTGTGTGTGTGTGTGTGTGTGTGTGTGTGTTTGTACGTCTGAGAGCTTGCACAAACAATGGCCTTCGGCGCATCCGTGAACGAGTACGTGCACACACGCACGCGCAAACACATGCACACAAGCGCACACGCACACGCATGCAAACCCACACACTTACGCCTTGATCATCCTGGCAATGGATCAGAGCTTCGAGGGATTGAGGGCTGAGTGTGTCACGCTGCTGTAGCAGCACCTTGGCCATGGTAGGATCGCCGTGCACACATGCCCAGTGCAATGGCGTCACACCGGCGTCGTCCACCTGCATCAAGGACGATCACACAACGTGAACGCAACACAGTGAGTGCACCCGTTTGCATGTGCTCGTGTGCTCGTGTGCAACATCAGCAAGATCAGCAGCAGCACATGTGTGTGTGTGAACGATAGAATGCTGATGGCTGCACACTGCTAAACGCATATGTGCACAAACGAAGCTCATGCAGCAAAGCGTCAACGAATGCGCACGCACACTCGCGCACACCACACATACACACCACACCACACACACCACACACACACACATACACATACACACGCGCACAAGCACGCACGTCTGGATTGGCGAGGTTGTTCGAAAGGAGATAGCCGACGATATCGACGCGGTTGAACGTCGCTGCCCAGTGCAGTGGGGACTGACCCGCATTGTCGATCACCCGGGCAGACACACCAAGGTCATGTAACAAGATGATGCCCTCCTGGTAGTTGAAAACAAAGCAAAGTACAAAACAACAACAACAACAAAAAAAAAAGAATCACAATTCAAGGGCAAAGACAAAAACGTAGCAAGAAGTACACATCACCGCACAGCGCAAGGTTATGACGGTGTGCCACAGGAGATCAAAGGTCAGCGTGAATCATAAGGTGCGACAAAGGTGCGAAGGTGAAAATTGCATACTTCTCGGCCATTGGGTCTGAGGCCAGACGCCTTGGCTTGCTTGCAGGCAAGAAATTCCGTTCGACACGAGGCCCACACACACGCGTACGCACCATAGAGTCAGCAGCGATGGCATATACATAGGCGCCGCGCCCATTCTCATCCACTGCGTGGCTTGCACTCTCGTCTGTCGTCAAAATCTAACACAAGGCAAGCAGCCGCAGGTTTAGCAACTATAAGCAGCAGCAGTGGCAGTGGTTGTCGAAGCAGTTGTGGTGGTGCTGTGGTGAGCGGTGGAAGGACGAGCGCGAGGCTCTAACGCTGCGCAAACGGCCAGCACCGGCTTTATGTAGGTACACAAGTGCGGCAGTAAATTTGGTGAGTGTTTGGCAAACCTTGCGTGCCGTGTTGACGTCATTGCTGCCCAGAGCCTTGAGAACAGGCTCCAGTGAACTAATCTCGTCTGCGAGTACAGAAGGCACGATGCCGAAGCCCCGCGAGTCAGTCGGTGTCAGGTCAACCCACAAGCGCACACGTTGAGGAAGAGATGAGAGAACGAGTACGGATGACACTGAGGATGCACACCGACAACAGTCATCAAGACTACCCATGTCACAGCTTCATGTCAAACGCGTGTTCCATGTAGAAAGGGTATTGAAGGAACATATTCAATCCACCACCAGACCACCTGGACCTATTCACTGCGTCACAAGACTACAAGAAGTCTGGCTGCAACTGCTCCCATCAATGACTCATGTCCCTTTCATCGTACCTTTGCATGCGGCAAGCATGCTGTCCAGCACATCGCTGGCGGTGGTTGAGCCGGTCATCCAAGCCCCTGCTCGTCTGCTATCGAGGGTGGAAGGAACAGAGGAGAGGCAGGTTGGGAAGAGGGGAAGAAGGGAACAACAGAGAAAGAAGAACAACAAACTCTCGCTCGTCTTTGCTGTTGCCATCGAGCATTTGTTTGCTGAAATTTCCCTGAAGACATTCGCCAATAGCACACAACAGAAGCAAGCAAGAAAGCAAGCAACCACATACATACATTCATCCCAACAACAAACAAGCAAGCAACAAGCAACCAGCTGCTGCTGTCGTCCTCATCATCACCACACACACACACACACACACACACACACACAACACTTGACGCCGCGACTGAACAATGGGCTTCTTGCGAGGACTTGCGCGCGTGGTGCTCGGCCTTGCGCTGAGCGTGGTCTTCATCATGGCGGCAGCAGTGAAGCTGTCGCCGCAGGTGAACAAGGAGGTGCACGAGGAGCTGGCCCAGGAGTTTGCGCAGAAGTACAGCGAAATCTGGATGGTGTCTGAGTTTGGCATCACCCACGAGGAGTTCCGCATGGCCATTGGCGGCCTTGAGATTGTGCTCGTCCTCCTGCTCTGGGTCCTGCCTCGCTTCAGTGCCCTCATGCTCTCCAGTATCATGGCCGGCGCCATCTACACCCACTATGCGGCGCACGACCCGCCCGTGAAGATGGCCGTGTGCGGCATCCTCATGGCGCTCCTCTTTGCCTTCATGCTCCTCTCCGGACCTCAGCCCAAGACCGGCAAGAAGAAGCGCGCTTAAACGACGCACCAGTGTCTGTGATCGTGTGTTTGTGCGTGTATGATCGTGTGTTTGTTTGTTTGTGCGTGTGTATGTGTCTGTGTGGGTAGGAGAATTGTGTCCGCCTGCGTATGTGTGCGCGTGTGGCTGTCTGTCTGTCTGTCCGTCCGTGTGTCACCTGCGTGCGCGTACTTATCCTGAGAAGGAGAAGTGCGCTCACGTGATGCGACGCCACACAGTTTGTGGGTGTGTCCTTGCTTTCTGGGTCGTGTACACGCGCTTCAAGCGGGAATACCTTCAACAACTGACAACATGTTGGCGCCAACTACACCCTTCAGTTCATTTCTGTGCATCATGATGTTGTCCTTCATATCTGATTAAGTGCATTCCTACGACTGGTTTGTTGTCTGTGCTGCGTTTTGGGTGTGTATGGCGCCTGTTGAGCTGGGACACCTGTCTCGTTTGTGTTATCCAATACAAACCAACCCAGCACAGGCAAGTCAACTCGGGTGCAGAACGGACGGTGTGAACGAGCACACACATGACCCAGCATGGAGATACAGAGAGAGAGAGAGTGTGTGTGTGTGTGTGTGTGTGTGTGTGTGTGTGTGTGTGTGTGTGTGAGTGA